CTGATTCCGAATATGATAATATTATTGCACGAAAGCTTCGTTTTTATGAAGAAAATGGAGAAATACAGACCGAATTCTGCCTATTTAATCCAAAATACAGAAAAGCTGGATTTTCTCAACAAAGAAAAGAAAAGAAAAAAAAGCGATACGTAGCGTCGTCGGGGGTGGGATGGTAAATAGAATGAGATAAAATATTTGGCTCCATTGTTTACGTGCAAAAACTAGATACGTTTACAAAATCGACCTATACGTATTTCACTCCACACGATTGGAAGCGCCACCATCAATAGAGTTTCAGGTCTAGAGTCGATTTAACAACTTCTCTATACTTAGTTTTTAATGCTAAATCTGAAAAAATATTTTCAAAAACCAAATAAACGAAGGAAGTAGAAAATTTTGCATATTTTTAAAAAGATGTGTTTTTTCTCGAAAAACGACACCTTATTTATCCAGAGAGAGAGTACCGGCTAACTTCATTTTAATTATCTCAAACTTTTAAAACAAAATCTACAAAAATTTATACAAAAAAAAGCCTTAGGGATAGTATCGATTCAATCTCATGTTTGGATGAATACTGTATTTTCGCATCGTATTAATTAGTCATACATATATACACAATACTATTAAACTTTATATAAAGTGTACTAAATATTTTTGCAATTCAAACAAATCACAAGCATGTTTTTGTTCTTTTTATAAATTAATTGAAATTTGTTATATTCGATGTAAAAAAAAGTAATTGATATTCAATGAACTAGATCAGTAACTAAAACTTAAGAATGTTTTGGATTCATGTATGTGAATTAACTAAAAAAAGGACAGGACAAAAAGAAAAAGCAAATGTAAGAAATAGCAGTTCATTTTCACCTAGAAGAATGAAATAAACTAAATTTCAAAATAGGAGAAATATTAGAGTTTGTTTCTTAGTAGGTTTTAAGTGGATTCAGAAAAAAACGAACAAGTTTTAATCAATATAATTTTCAAAAATATTCACAAGCAAATTAAAAGAATTCAAACAAACATCTTATCATTGTCAAGAGTATTCTTACAGACATATACAATAGTGAAAATCTACACTATTTCGGCAAAAAATCTGTTACCGCAATGTCGGAGGAATTAAAATGTGAAACACGACGTAGCTGCTGTTGCTGATTACAGAGAACTTGTTGTATTCTATCTATTTTAGAGCACATTTCTTCACTATCCTTTTACTTAGTCTTTCAGATATGTAATAGGGAAGCAGTAGTGTCAAACTTGAAACTTGAATTGAAGTATTCAACTATTCCGAGATGCTACAGGCATCACCTGAAAAGCTACATACATCACCTGGAATGCTACAGGCATCATCTGTGATGCTACATTTATCACATGGAATGCTGCAGATACTGTGTATACGCAGCTCTTTGGGGAGGACACTACGCGCCCCCACGCCGCGATGTAGATATAAAAGGTCAGTTAAGCAAGGAAAAGTGCTTCCTCCACCTGAATTTGTGGTACTGATAATTTGCATAGTTGAATTTAACTTTCAAGTTTGACATGTTTGGAAAATTATGTTATCATTATATGATGCAAATGTATAAGATTAATAAAATTAAATTTGATCAATAAAACTGGATCATTTTATATTCAATTGTTTAAATTCAGGTATACATGCAAAAAAATTTATTAATGATTCATGCATAATAGTTTCGTCATTAATAGACTGCGAAAGAGATGTCGATGATGTATATTTACTAAGTATTATATTATTTAATGTTCGATTGTCATCATATTAGAATATGATTAAAACCAAAACAACTTATTTTATAAATCTAGATAGGAAGGATAAAGATCATAAATAGTATTTAATTATTTGTATTTATTGGATTAACAGCAAGTTCTTAATTTGCTGATTTCATTATCAAAATGTTTTTTTCTTTCGTACAATTATTGGAAGATTAACAAGAGATTGTTGATGATTTGTTAGATTATTTATTTTCTTTTGTTCTTTTGATAATTTTATTAATTGTCTTAATTGTTTTTCTTCTTTAGTACGAATCCAATCTTTACGCATTTTAATATCAAAACATTTTTTTAATCGACAATATGCACATTGACGACGTGTATTATTATTAATAATACATGAGCCCAAATAACGACATCTTAACTGAGACTGAAAAAAAAAAAGAATTATCGTTGAGATATCATTTCGTTGTTATTCGAAAATTTTCGAATAGAACTTCTAGACTATTGTGACAATTACTAGTTATTTAAGGTATGGTTATTGTCTCTTTGCTTATATCCAAGTCTGACGTTTGTTTTTCAATTATACGACTAGAAAGATTTGACCTTAACAAGGAACCATGTTCAACTGTCGGAAACTCACACTTAGTATATATGTAGGACTGAGTGAGACTGATTAATGAAAGTCCAGAAGGATTTACTCGCATACTTTATCCTTTCAGAGTTATAACCATTATAAATGAATGCTGTAGTAACAAAAAAAGTGATTTTCGAATTTTAGCTTAAACTTTCCATAGCGGCAAGCATTGCTCGATGTTTCTGAGAAGGAGCATTTATTTAAAAAAATATCTTACATGTGCAGTATCTCCACATCAATAAGGTAAGAACACAAACTCTTTTTCGAATATTCATAGTTCATTTGGATCTACATAATATACATATAATCTCAACTCAAAAGTGATTTATCAGTTGGAGAACTTCCTTCGTGAGATGGAAAGTTCAAATAAAACGGTCATAACTCTAAAAGATAAGCTATGAGTACAAATCTTTTTAGATTTTCACTAGAGAGTTTTTACAAGTTTGTAAATTTTGTTTTTTTTAATCATTCGAATGCTTATTACCATATCTCGTAATGCATTTCGACGAAA